CACCGCCGGTAGATTCCGCGTGGTCTGGCTGCGAGCTTCCCTGAAGCCCCGTGCTGACCGAACCTGACACCCCCCATCTTGAATGTTTTTAGTATTCATGTACAGGGTTTGTTTTTTATAATTGATTTTAATGGATTAATTTATTTTAATTATTTATGGGGTATTTTTAATAGTTGATGAGGTTTTTGATTTTAACTGTGAGCCTCCCAGAGTCACCCATTGGGGGAGATGGGTGGCATACAAATTTAAAAACAAACAAACAAACAAATAAAATAGCTGAGTACTGGTGAAAACACACTGTTGGCTTTATCATGTTGTGGTAAGGGCAGTGAAGGAAGCCTTTTCTACTGCTATCACTATACCCCCACAGAGATAGCTATCAAAGTTATTCTGGAGTGAAAAAACAGCTATTAAAATTTGACTCAGACGGGTTTTAGAAGCCTGCTGTGAAAAAATATAGCAAATGTTTTGAGGGCAATGATGCATACATTCACTCCAAACTGATTTCATCACAAGAATGGTATAAACATCCAAAGCATGACTGAGTCAGGGTGTGTTTGGGTAAGTTATAGTTGTTATGGCCTAGAATATAGACTTGGAAGGGGTGGTAGCGGTCATCTAATTCAGCTCAGCTCAATGAAGGACCCACTATAGCATCTCTGATCTCCAGCAGATGACCAATCAGCCTATGTTGGAAGACCTCTAGCAAAGGAGGACTCACCAGTTCACATGACAGCCTGTTCCCCTGGCCAACAACTTGTACAGTCAGGATGTTCCTTGTAGTGTTACACTGGGTCTCGTCAACTCCTCTGAAGCCACAGAGAATGCCCACTTGCTCTTCTGCGTGACAACTCTTCAGATAATTGAAGACTGCTATAATATTTCCCTTCAGTCTCTTCTGTAGGCCAAATGTATCCAGGTCATTTAGGATGTGGACCAAGTCCCATGAAAGGGTTTGGCTGATTGTACAAGTACTTGATGTACTTGTGAGAGCCAGCAGAGAATAATTAACTGAGACAATCCAGGTAACTGTGATCTATCCACTCCCCACCCCACCAAACCTCCATCAATGCAGGCATCTATGATAATATTCTCAGTAAGAAATATCCCTTTGGGGCCAAAGTTTTGCAAAGATCATGCCTTGCCACTTCCAGGAATATCTGTTTCTAAGAATCATCTTATTGAAATCGGCAGTATCCAAGCATAATATTTTACAGTGGAGCTGTGTGTACTTTCGTCCATACACAACTGCTCTGCTTCAAAGTTGGCTTAGGAATGAATAGCATACAGTGGATGTTTAGGTTTTGTGCCGACCCTTTGGAATATCTCTCTGTAATTTTCTTGGATGGTTGAAGGTTACACATTATAGCAAACCTTATCTGGAGTAAAAATAACTTCACTGCAAATGTCTGGGGAAAATACTGGGCGTTGGGGAAAAAAAACTAAGCATCTCTGATTAAAAGTAAGCCAGATGTATTATTAGTTCTTTTGTCCCACAGGGTGAACAAGGATGGCCGGGTAGTGCAGGCTTATCTGGAGAAAAAGGTGAAAAAGGTCTTCCAGGTATTTCAGGCTTCCCTGGATTCCCAGGCCTCAAAGGGCAACCTGGCCTTCCAGGTTCTCCAGGTGAGTGATCCAAAGTTTCCTGTATTATTTTGTGCCAGATATTTAGGCTACAGAATTAAACACCTGTGCTTTTTTTTTTTTTAAAAAAAGGTCTTCCAGGAGTGCCAGGTGAAAAAGGACAAAAAGGATCCGCAGGCTTGAGTGGTTTGCAAGGCTTAAAAGGAGAATCAGGTAAAAGACTTTGCACGATGCTTCATCTTTGTAACTTGAATGGAAAGGACAGGCTTTCTCTTTGATCCTGATGTCTCCTGTATTTGGAGCCCTGTTAGCTCATGCTGAAAGTTGACTTTTAATGCTACAAACACAGGGCAAGGTGGCAATCTGATCCTAACTGATAGAGGTCCTCTGCTTTTGTGGTATGTGAAATAAGATACAGTGTACTCTAGTTTCAGCTGGAGTGCTTTCTGGAGCAAATTTGCATTAACCTTAGGCCAGAAATGTACAGCTGTTCTCAGTCCAAGGACTGCACTGGCCTTTCAATGCATTGCATTAAAAATAATTAATTAATTGCATGAATACATATTTAACAACATTACAGAATAGTACTCAAATAAGTGGAGAGATTCAGGACCAAAAATGGCTTGATTTAATTTAATTCAGATTAATCAAAATTAAATGTAATTAATTAAAAACAATTAATTGTAAGAAATCCTTTTGGGGATTTCTGCATGTACACTTCTGTTTCAGGCACAAATGCCAGAAGAAGATGCATTTTTAATTACACATTTATTTAATGCCTTGAAGTTTAATCACATACAGAGAAAATGGCAAGATCATATACATCCAAGTCATTCAGGATCATATGGATTGATCTTTAGACCCTCTTCCATCTTTTTGTTAACCAAATTAACGACTGAAGCTTTTCATCATATTAAAAATAAAAAGGAATTTTTATTGCTGTTCAATTAAATCAGTGCTTTTGATATTAGAGCAAGGTTCTGTAGGTTATGCACTTATGCAAGTGTCAGAGCATTGTACCAAATTGCAATACAGATCCCCCACAAATTAAAAATAAAGTAAAAATCAATGTTCTCACCTGAAATCTTACAAACCCTAAAAACCAGCATATAATTTTGGGGCAGCAGAGAAATCACTGCTGTGATTTCTTGGAGCTTCATCCCAGAAGTGCTGAATGTAGGAGAGTTACATCATTTTTTAATTTCATTGCATTCTAATAAAATTGTATAATTATTATATTATAATGTAATAGCTTCCAGTAAACCTTTTTAAAAACTCTTTTTAGTTCACTCTAGAGTGGTGTTTCTGAACCTTGGCAACTTTAAGATGTGTGGACTTCAACTCCCAGAATTCCCCAGCCAGACACACCGCTTTAGAGTTTATGTGACCTGTCACTCAGCCAACTTGAAAGGTGGCTTGGCACCGGCCCAGCCTCCCCCAAGGCATTCTGGACTTTCTTTAAAGAGGCTGATGATGCTGGGGAGGAGAGGATACAAAACAGAGGAACCAACCAATTGCTGCCCTTAAATTGCCTTTCAGTAATTCTTAAGTCCAGGACCCCTCAAAAGCGCTATTAACAAGGCAGGTTACAGCTTGGATGTCAGGACAGCACAGATTATTGCTGCTGACTCAAGGACTGGAGCATTGCACACTGGCCCGGCTGTGACAAAGAGGAGTTAGAGAGATCACACATTTCTGGAATACAACTGAGACTTGACTTTCATCCCTTGGAACAGTGTTTGTCTTTAGAAATTAAAATACCCTTTTTTTGGCCACTAGCTGGTTTAATTGAAAAAAAAATTGCAGTGAAATTTAGCATGTGTTCTCCCTCTTTCCCTCTCTCTTTCTCTCAAACACACTATAGAGAGCCACAGAGATACCTTAGAGAAACTATGCAGAGATGGTTGCAAAAACAAAAACATGCTTTTTGCCCAGGAAACAGAATAGATCAAGAACAAGCTCAGACTGCCTCCACCCTAACTCCCAGGGGAATACGAGGCAGAGGAGTCAAGCTTTCAAGACTGTGTTACTGTAGCCTATAGCAATAAAATGCAGTTCCAGTAGTGGAGTCAGTTTCCCAACTTGCCCTACCTCAAAGGGCTCACAGACACACAAAACTAAGCGCACATAAACCCTACATACTGAAAAACCACAGAAGAAAGCTCCTCCTAATGTTTAGCAATATAAGTTTTCATTTCTCAGCATGGTGAATCCTGAGAGATATATATATTCCTACTTTGCAGGTGACCTTGGACCACCTGGTCCACAGGGAACTCCTGGAGGAAAAGGTGAGCCAGGTTATGATGGAATCCCAGGCCCTCCTGGTTCAAAAGGGGATCCAGGTAAGACTTTTATCTCCTTGGCCTTCTCATATTAAATATATTTACTACATCAGATACAGGGTTATATAATAATTGTCTGGAATCTCTAAAGAACTTTGTTGTTTGGAAGGTTAAATATATAACCAACGTTATATATCGTAGAAAGAGAAAAAGAAGGCTATATTAGGAAATGGATGGAAATTTCTGTAGGCAATCAGTGCTGATGATATGGGGTAATATGGGAGATGGGCGGCATACAAGTCTGAAAATAAATAAATAAATAAATAAATAAATAAATAAATAAATAAATAAATAA